GACGGAGCCATGTAGATTTGCTTTTTTGGCAAAGGCAAATGAAGCCGCGATTTAAATGATCACGGCTTCATTTAAATTTACATGGCTGCCGCGCTGAGCCGACAAACAGCTGATCAGCTGTTTGTCCACTCAGCCTAATCAGCTGTTTGTCCGCTCAGCGCGCTAGTCTGGACGCTCCCTTGCCGACATCAAAGCCCTTTGTTGGCAGCCCCGGTAAACCTCATCCCACGAGGAATACCAGGGCTGCCGACAAAGGGCTTTGATGGCGGCAGGGGAGCGTCCAGACTAGCACGCTGAGCGGACAAACAGCTGATCAGCTGTTTATCGGCTCAGCGCGGCAGCCATGTAAATTTAAATGAAGCCGCGATCATTTAAATCGCGGCTTCATTTGCCTTTGCCTATCTGTCTAATCTACATGGCTCCATTAATGGAGCCATGTAGTCTAGACACAGCCTAAGTGAGCAGATAACTAATCCCAAAGAATCCAAATTTTATGCTCATGCACATGCTCCCACCTCCAGTGTGAAATGGATTTTGAAAGGCCGTTACTGTCAATTGGAACAGGACACATGGCTCTGACTATTAAAAAATAATGGGGTGGATGGGATGTGGGGGAAACTTCCTCGAGCCAGAGATAAGAGTGGGAATTGTGCTAGCCCATGCTTTCATTTATTTTCACCCCTACTTTTGTTTCTTCTGCCTTCTCCCCTCCCGCCATCCCTATTAGTGGGCAAAGATGAGTGTCAACACATATCACACCACCAGGTGGTGCTGCTTGTTAATCACTAAAGCTTCAGTCTCTGGACAGGGAAAGGATGGGAAGTTACTCAAAAGATGGAAGGTTTTATTTGAACTGTCTGAAAAGCGGTCACATGTCTCTCAGCGTGAATTAGGCTGGCTGGTTGGAGTCCAGTTGTAGGCAGGCAGTGGCCCAAGTCCCAGGAACTGCTTTGTCATTGGTCAGCTTGTTGGCATTTTCAGCAGTAAACCGAGGGAGGCTGCAGTCCTGGTCAGCCCAAAAGATGGTCCCTTTGATTCAGAGTTGAGGTGTGTTGTGTGATGGGGCACGTAGGTGTGTCTGGATGGTGCCCATGCTCAGGCGGCTCTGTGGATATGCGGAGCATCCACGGCAGTCGGTCTGGCAGCTTTCCCCAGCATGAGAAAAGTCATTTCAGATTGTTTTGAAAGGTTTTTTTAGACTGAAGAGGAGCGGATGCCGGTGTGAAAGTGACACCCTCCTCAGCGGCTGTTCTGGAAACAACACCCAGAGCCCATGTCCTGGTCTCAAGAGGCAGAGCCAACACTCTGTCCCTACTGGGAACGGGCTTGTCAAGAGCATAAATCACTCCTGCTACAGAACAAAAGGACGCACTGCGAAGGTAACTGATTTTATTTTATATACAGTGTCATAGGGTTAGGAGGATGGGGACCTGCATCTCCTGGCTGCGAGATTTCTGGTGTGAGAAGAAGCCTTCAAGGAGGTCCTGCTCCTTTGATACGCTATCTGACATTCCTCCCTCCTGCAGGTGATTTCCCTCTTGCTGTAGCATGCCGAACCAGGGGGGTTGGCCGGCATCATCCAAAGCATCATCCATGCACAATACAAACTATTCAGTGTCAATGCCAGGAAGGTGCAGATCATGTGAGTCTGTCCTTAACAAGCATTAATCCCTGCATTTGCAACACTGGCATTCTTGCTGGTGAGTGGTGAGTGGTCTGGTGGTGAGAAATCTTTGTCTTCCACATACGGCTCTCTTACTACACCCAGGGCTGATCGTTCCTATGCTGTGTAGCATGGGGTGGATGGGGAGTTATGATCATGCTGGGAAATGCTCCAGCACTGGAACCTGGGCCAGTCTCACGGAGGGGTTTTTGAAGTTAAAGGTTGACCCTACTGAATGGTGAGTCAGTGCAGAGAGTGGAGTGTGGGGCAGATGAGCTCAGCAAAGCCCAGGTTGCTATATGGATGGGTTGCTGTGTTCCACACTAAGGCTGCGTCTAGACTGGCATGATTTTCCGCAAATGCTTTTAAAAGTTTTTCCGTTAAAAGCATTTGCGGAAAAGAGCGTCTAGATTGGCAAGGACACTTTTGCGCAAAAGCACTTTAGGTGGAAAAGCGTCCGTGCCAATCTAGACGCGGTTTTGCGCAAGAAAGCCCTGATCGATATTTTCGCCATCGAGGCTTTTTTTGCGCAAAACAGTTTTTACCTGTCTACACTGGCCCTCTTGCGTAAAAGCATTTGCGCAAGAGGGCTTATCCCCGAGCGGGAGCATCATAGTATTTGCGGAAGAACACTGACAATCTTACATTAGATCGTCAGTGTTCTTGTGCAAATTCAAGCGGCCAGTGTAGACAGCTGGCAAGTTTTTCTGCAAAAGCAGCCATTTTTGCAGAAAAACTTGCCAGTCTAGATGCAGCCTAACTGTAATAAAAGTGGGCAATGTCTACAGAGCAATTTGGTGAAGAGTCAGGGCAATGCACACACTTGCACCTCCAGACATTAGTCTGAATCAGACAGGAGGGGTAGTGTCCTCATGCCAGCAGTGGATGAGAAAGACATTTCACAGCAGCTGCACTTTATATATTCAGAAGCTGTGGACCATATTACTAGTATGAGGACAGATGCCCTCAAAAGAGGGTGATGTTCCCACCAATCCAGCTCATCCAATTCCCATTTGCTTTACCAGATCTCCTAAACTGAGCTGTGTGGTTAGGTCACCCTGGAATCATTTTCCCCACTGCTTCCCCCTCAAATACCCAAATCCATTCCTTTTTATCCAGTTTTTGGTTCCCCAAAAATCCCACGTCAAATTAATAGAGCTCCCAGCATCATTGCTCAATATGTCTTCCAACAGGCTAAGTTTGGTTCTAAAAGAGGTACCGTAATCAGATAATTTAATCCCAAAATCAAGGTTGTTGTAACCTAGTAATAATACTTCATGCATCACATTATTGTTAGCATTATAAGGAAAGACATGGACCTAGATGGCAAATTGAGGTCTTGCTGTGAAGAATGTACCCAGCAGATGTTATGTCTCAGAAGGGACAGATGATCTCTTGTTGTCTAGCAGGTGGGCGTTCTAACCTAATAATAACAGGAGGCTTTTCATTAAAAGCTTTAAATCTCTCTGGAGTATTATGTCCAATTCTCCCCCCACCCTGCATAGAAAGGATGTGGACACACTGGAGAAAGTCCAGCAGAGGGCCACAAAAATGATTAGGGGTCTGGAGCACACGATTTATGAGGAGAGACTGAGGGATTTGAGCTTATTTAGTCTACAGAAGAGAAGCATGAGGGGGGATTTGATAGCAGTCTTCATCTACCTGAAGGGGGGTTCCAAAGAGGATGCTGGTCTCAGTGGTGACAGATGACAGAACAAGGAGCAATGGTCTCAAGTCGCAATGCGGGAGGTCTAGGTTGGATATTAGGAAAAACTGTTTCTCTAAGAGGGTGGTGAAGCACTGGGATGGGTTCCCTAGGGAGGGGATGGAATCTCCATCCCTAGAGGTGTTTAAGTCTCGGCTTGACAAAGCCCTGGCTGGGATGATTTTGTTGGGATTGGTCCTGCTTTGGGCAGGGGGCTGGACTCGATGACTCCTGAGGTCTCTTCCTGCCCTAGGATTCTATGATTCTAAGACTGTCTAGGCCCACATCTTTTCTTATTATGCCATTGAACCCAGGATTAATGCACACAACATTTTCACTTTGCACCAAAAAAAAAAAAAAAAAATCTCTCCCTCTTGCAAACTGAGGTTTGGCAGCAACAAAGAGGAGTAACAGCACAGGGGCAATCTGTCTATGTGGACTGGGAGATGGAGAGCCAGTTGCTCCACAGCTGAGCTGTTGCAAGCAGAGCAGTAGCACACACCCACACACAATTCTCACTGCTGGCAAAACCCACAAACAGAGCCAGGGTTTGGGAGGTTTGCAAACAGAGCAAAATGCTTTTCCATTCTACCTCAACAATTTTGCACAAAAGAGAGGAAGCTGAGCATGGGACAGAAGAAGGGAGCACAACTTGTATTTCTTGCTACTTCTGTGGTGAAATTGTCTGAGTTTCCACTGGAGAAACCTGGTTTTGCCCATTGGCATTTGCAAGTTTGGTGGGAACACAGCACGAGGGGGGCTGCAGGGCCTGGCAAAGGTGTGCCAGCAGGGCTCTCCGGGGATAGAACGACTGGCATGATGGGGAATGCGGAAGCTCAGATGGGAGATGCATTGAGAGAGAAGCAGGTGCACCCATGACTAAAACATGGATGTGGGACTGTGTTGTAAGGATTGCAGAGCACAATGGGGAAGCCTGAGCTGGCGTGTCTAGTTCCATGACTACCCTTCGGTCTCTAGGCTTAGCAGTCGGAGACTGCAACCAATCTGACATTTGCTTATAAAATCTCCTCTTATTAAACCTAGGAGGACTGCTTGTCATATTCTCCAATGAAGGCTAAGAAAGCAAGCAGGGGAATGTGGTGAACATGCCCCTAGATGCCCCCAGGAAATCTCCCCCTTTGCAGGGTGAGTCCTTGTGCAACATTCTGCTAGTTGTCGTGCAAAGGAGAAGCTCTAGAAAATCGCTTTCTCCCCCTGCCTCCTCCCATTTCAGCACCTTGATCCACCCCAGAAGAGAAACCCGCTCTGCTTTTCACAGCTCTGCTGAGCAAGGAGAGTTCCCTGCTCGATGTGCAGCATTCTCCAGCTCCTGCATTTCCTCTGCCCTTCACTTTTAAGAGCTGCCTCTGCATGATTAAAAAAAATATCAGCACAACTCTACAGAGGGGGACACCGGGAAGGGGGAGCTGAGAAGCTTGCAGGCAGAGAGAGGTGGTGCTTGTGCACTGGGTCACAGACACACACAGAATTAGCAGGGAGAGCAAAGACCATGCAGCGGACAGGGGAGCACAATATCCTCTGCATTTAGCCAAGGAAATGAAGGAGTCTCTTACTTCCTCCAACCCCCCCGCAGACTGGCCTATTCTATGCATATCCCTGGCCCAAACTCCTCCCTCCCCTCCCTGCTTTCACTCCCAGCCACCTTTCCCTTTCCTGTTCATTCAGAACAGATGATGCTCCTGATCACATGTGTACAGCTCCTCTCCCTCCTCCCTTCCCCAGCCCTTTAAGTAGCTTTATTACACGGAGAAATCATTTGTACTACACACAGCGAGAGAGGGGGAGCAGGCAAAGGGAGGGAGATTTAACAGGCAACAGCACGGTGGTGTGGAAGGACCGGGGATCTGAGAAGCATGGCAGCTCTGTCAAAGCCAGCAAAAGCCAAGGGACAGCTAGGGGCAGAAGGGGTGTGCACTTAAATCCAGAGCACAGCATAAATGTGCAGCAATACCTGGGAGGAGGCAGTAGGGAGAGCCTGGGAGAAGACCCCAATTCTGTGGTGATGGCATGGACCAGACGCCCTTCCAGTGACTGTTTTTACCTTCCTCCCAGTCCTGTCTCCACCGGGACCCCACAAATCACAAGGGAAGAGGACTGATGCAGAGCCATTATTAGCAAGTAAGTTATCCTATTGTCTGTTTGCTTCCCATCTCCTCTCTCTCTCTCTCTCTTCTCTGACTGCTGCCCAAAAGGCCGGTTCCTAGGTCAACTTAGGCGCGTGAGGGAGACAAGAAAACAGGTGCTGTCTAACTACCAGGGGATGTTAAGGGCAGTATCCCACTCTTAGACATGCCATTGTCAGGTCTGACAAGGTGCCGTGAGGGTACATCGTCAGGCGTCTGCATGCTGTGCTAATGAGTGTTGTATAAGGACCAAAGAGAGTGGAGCGACTCTTGGTTTGCAGCTGAGGTGAAGGGTTGAACTGTAAATTGATGGCATTTACTCTTTCATTTGGGGTTCAAAGAGTAGCTGGGGTTGTTGCTGCTATTGTTCAAGTGAACCTTTGGTGTGCCCGCTGGCTAGGGGGTGTATGTGACTGTGCCACAGTCAGGGTGATTACCCAGGGCATGTTGACTTCCCCAGCTTGGCTGTTTCCCATCATGCTGGACTGACCTAACAGCCTAACTTTTATTGAGATGTGTTTCTCACCCCTTGTGAGCTGTCTGAGAGTCACAAACCAGCTGGGAACTGGCAAAGTGTTAACAATTCTGAGCCAGTTCCCAGCAGAATTGTGCTTAGGGGGTAATCCTGGGATCAGCCGTCAGAGCCAGCTTGATTTTTGGGGGAGTCAGTCTAGGGTGGGATGTCAGCAGCCTGGCTCTGAGCTGGCCTTTACTGGGATGGCTAATTCATAGTATTGTTCAGTATTTGATTACTGGAGCTCCTGGGGGCCCTGGTCATAAACCAGGACCGCATTGGACTAGGTATGCTGCACATACACAGAATAACAAGATGGTTTTACCCCTAAACATCTAACAATCTGCCTTCATGCTGCTAGCAAACATCCTACACCCCAGGTAGGGAAATAATGTTGGGCTAGGAATGTGATGAAACAAGCTTGGGAGAGGAGGGGAAGTGAAACTGGACCTTCCTTCTAGCTCTCGGCCATGAGCTGGCCAATCCAAAGGCTAGGGAGGGTCAAGGAAGTTCCATATAGCTTGGATAAGCATGTCGATTACCATCGACTACTTGATTAGTCAATAGTCACTTCCACATTCCTCCTTTGAAATGTACAAAAGCCCCTGCTGGGGCTCTTGTACATTTCAAAGGAGGAATGAGGAACTCCGCATGCAGCCTGGGGCCGGCGAGAAGTCCCGCTGACTCTGGACTGCAGGCAGGCCAGCTTTGAAATGTCCAAGAGTCCCCAGCGGGGGCTCATGTGCATTTCAAAGTAGAAGTGCCCTCATGGAGCCCGGGATCAGCGGGGGACTCAACGTTAGATAGAAGCAACAAGGTGGGGGAGGGGAATCAACTAGTCAACTGACATCCTTGTCCTTGACATCTTTAGTCTAGATGTGGAGCAGGCTGCTGCATTTCGGGGGGCCCATTCTCTTCCCTCTCACCCTGAATTCCATGAGGGATCCTGTACTCAGAACTCTTCCCATCTAGATACTCAGTCCCAGGAGCTTGGAAGAGTCCAGAGAAGCAGTCAGGATTCTAAGTGCTGATCCAAGCTGAATCTCAGAACCTTTTAACATTACAGATGCCCCCTTCCTGTTGCCTGGATGTTTGCAGGGAAGCCTGGGTTCCAGTCTGCACCTTGACACTTAGCCAGCTGGGTAACCTGTGTCACATCACCCATGTGTGCCTCAGTTTCCCCCTCTGTGAAATGAAGATCACAGTGCTGTCCTACCTCACAGGAGGGTTTGCTAACAATCTGCAAAGAAGTCAGTTCTTTGAAATCCTCAGAAGTAAAGTGCTATAGACTTTCTAAGCGGTGGTTGTGTTATTGTCCATTTTCCAAGCAGGTGCAGGATTAGATAGTGACTCTTAATTGCTATTGGGTATGGGAGAATTGATTAATATATGTGCTCAAAGGCAGGAATATTTGCACCCTTTTGCCTGGGTTTCCCCATAGGCTGGGTAGGGGAACTTCTTAACCAGATCTCTATTGGGGCTTCCAGATGATGGACAGTATCTCATGATCACCAGGGAGATGGGGTATTGGCACTGCCAAAGCAGCCCCCCAAATCACCAGAAGGGCAACAGGCATCCCCAGAAGTTAACAGTGGAACAAGTGTATGGAAAGTGAAGTTGCTGCAGGGAGCACCCAGAGCTGGGAAAAGCCAATTCCTTGGAAAAGGGCTGGATCAAATAGGCTTATTTTCGGATTTGGTTTGTTGGGGAACCAACTGTCAGCTGAATATTAGAGACTCAGTTAAGGATCTCTGAACATCAGCTTATTCATGCATCCCTCATCACACTGTGTTTTAGCCTCTCCCCACTTAGAATTCTGTGATATGCAGCTCCCTGGTTATTTTATATTAATTACATTCTGCCATCCACGCCTTCCAGTATTTACACTCCAACTGAGCCGGTCCTTATACCAAGCAATGTATATTCCCTGGCCTTTATGTTATAGTAACTACATGCTCCCTTGTCATTATTTTATATAAAACAACATTCTCGCTCTGTTAATTCCCAGGCTGCTTTACGGTCATTAGAACAGCTCATAAAGCATTTTCCGGTCTCCAACTTTTGTGAAAAATAAAATAGCTTTGTTTTTCATTAAATTGTTAGGTCCCCCACTGCATTTTTAATAGATTAATCTCAGTATATCTGTAGTACACCCACAAGTTTGTATTTTATAAATGATTTTTCTTGCTTTAATTCCTGTTGGAAAATGCATTCAAAGCCCCACCTACTCTCTGCAAAGCTGGCATAAATAGAAACAAAATAACAGATTTTGTTATTTTAGCTTATTCCACTTTTCAAAAAGCTAGCAGCAAAACCAGAATTTTTAACCCATAGCAATCAAAATTAGATGTCAATTTGTTCTGTCCCGTAGAAGGACAAAGACCAGATTCTCTGTTGGTGTAAATGGGCTTGACTCCATTAAAGCTGATGGAGCTGCAGCTGTTTACACCAGCTATGGATATGGCCCCAAGTCTAATTAGGCAAAGGTGTAAAATTGATGTAAAATTTTCTAAAGCAACTCTGGTGAAAAAGCCCTATCTTATGTAGTGGGTATGAGATGCTGAGGAAACCTCTCAAGAAATTACTCTAAAAACCTATAGCAGTCAGAGAGAATGATTACAAATTTTGCTCAGCAACTAACATTGGCTGTAGTAGACGTATATGTCTCCATTAAATTCTATATAGGATAGTTCCAAAAACGTCTGTGCCTTTGAATCACATTTGACCTTGGGTCAGGGATTCTGTGCCTTTGTTGTAGCCATCTGGGGCTATGTTTAGACTGCAGGCTTCTTTCGGAAGAAGCTTTTCCGGAAGAGATCTTCTGAAGAAACTTTTTCTAAAGAGAGCGTCGACACAGCAAAAGCACAACACTGATTGGACACTATCTCGCATTTCAGTTGTGATTACTGTGGACAGAGTAGCCACCAGGGTACCTGTGCTTTTTCCTGAAGGCCTCTTATTTAAAAAAAACCACTCTCTGTTCTGCATCCACACGCTGTTTTCCAAAAAAGCTTTTTAGGAAAAAGGCTTCTTCCTCCTAGAAAGAGGCTTACTGCTGTCGGAAAACCCCCTCCGTTTTCGACTGAAAGGCGAAAGAATGCAATAGCAATGTGGACATAAGTGTAGTTTTTCCAGAAAAACAAACATTTTTCTGGAAAAACTCTGCAGCATAGACATACCCTGGGACAGTTGTAAGTGTGACTTAAGGGTAAGTGTCACCTACTCAGCAATCAACATTACTTCCCGCAGCAGCTTGGATAACTTCCCCTACCATCTGAAGAAGTGGGTTGTGCCCACGAAAGCTAATGATACTATCTACATTTTTTGTTAGTATCTACAGTGCTGCAGGACCATTTGTTGTTTTTTAAGTTTTTTTCAGTTACAGACTAACATGGCTGCCTCTCTGAGACTTTCACTACCAAGTACACTTGAAATTTCTTGGAATTTCTCTACTATTTATTTGTCCCCTGGTGAGACTTTCACTACCAAGTACACTTGGAATTTCTTGGAATTTCTCTACTATTTAATTGTCCCCTGGACTCCTTGACTCCATTCATCTGAAGAAGTGGATTGTGCCCACGCAAGCTCATGATGCCATCTACATTTTTTGTTAGTCTCTAAGGTGCTGCAAGACTCTTTGTTGTTGTTTTTTTTAGTATATTCTGTTTCAGACTAATACGCTATCCCTCTGAAACTTTTGGAATTTCTTTGCAGTCTCATACCAGTACCGATTAATACCGACTCTGATTAACATGTGAGAGCTGCAGAGGGACTCTTTGCAGAAAATGGTGTGAATACAGATCGTTAGTGAGGCCAGTATTTGTACAACACTTTGAAATTGTGGAATGCCCGTCTTAGGTGTTTGGCCAACTGGTTCTGAAAAAACCTCCAATCAGGGATGGTCTAGATTTACATGGTCCTGCTTCAATGCCGGAGGATGGTCCCTTCCAGACAACATTTCTATGACTTTATGACATCATCACTCTTCACAGGGTACAGAGGTTGCCCTGGGTTTTCAAAACAGTTTTCAGCCATGCTAGAAATTGTAGGGCTTATATTCCATGGAAGGAAAGGAGGGAGAGCCACTGTTCAAGGCTCTACCTTCAAATTTTGGAGTCCTGGGTTCAAGTCCTTACTCCTGCGTGACCTGGAGCGTGTCATTTAGCTTCTCTGTGCCTCAGTTCTCCATCCATCAAATGGGATTTATAGCATTTCCCAGCTTCTTCAGGGTGTTGGGAGGATAAATGCATTAAAATGGAGAGATGGTTAAATACTATGGCATGGGGGAGGGGGGATATTCAAACCTGACTGAGGGTAAAAGAGTCCTGGAATATTAGAATGCTGATTATTCAGTGCTGTTGGGTGGATGGTTAGATAGACAGAAAACTTAACAACAACAAAGGAATGTAACTATCCACAAACCTCATGTCTCCCCATATCTGCCAACTTTCTGCCCAGCGAAATTTTCTTACCACCCATTT